CTCGCGGCTGACAGGCAATAAATTAAGGGCGCTCGCGCCGTCCCTGCCGCGGAAACGCTGCCCGGCCCGGGCTCCCCGTGTCCCAGGGCCGCTGGCCCCGGCGCCGCCTCCCCAGCACAACTGGGGGCTGCCCGCGCCCGCAGCAGCCACAGCAGAACGGGACGTTTCCGCGCAGAGAGAGTAGCTGAGCCACCCGCAAGCCCGACTTGGTTTAAACCAGTCATGAGACCAAACGAGCTCCTCAAACACCATCCTCCCCAAGGCTGAGGCTGCGCAGGGGATCGGGTTTTAAATGCTGCCCATTCACTGCCTGTAGGTAGAGATAACGTTAGGAGCTCGGGCAGTGGCAGCCTTCCAGCCCCTCTCCCTCAGGCACCTGCCGCATCCCCTCCAGTGCCAGCCTCCTGGAGCTCTCCCTTGCAGGTCAAGAGCGAGACTGTTTTCATTAGGAACACACAATAAATCATCTCATTGCACAGTTAATAGCCTTTAAAACAGTCATTTGCATCCTCCTGCCCAGAGCCCCAGCCAAGATCCCCCTGAAAGCAGGATGTTCATTTGTTTCTGTGGTCTGTTTTCCAGCTCTTGCCCAAAGATGTTTCTTCTCCTATTTTCTTTTGGTGATACCTTGAACTGAATCTTCCCTTTTTTACAGAACTAGGTGATSATTTTCACAACTGTGACTAACACTATAACAGAGCACCTCAGACGTGCAGATTTATGACACACCTCTATCTCCACCACAGGGAATGCAAAATTCCAAAAAGATACATACATTAAACATACATCTCCTTCAGCCTCTATATGTTAAAGATGTATTTTGATAAGCACATTTACACACAGCAGCCCAAGCTCAAAACTGAGCCTTACCTAAGTACTTTCTCCTCAGCTTCTTTCTTTTGGTGATACACACAGCTGTGAGTCGCATTCTTGCTTCCATTTAGAGGTTCCTGAATGTGAAGGGACCTGTTGGGGATAAAGCAGTAAAATTTCATGTATGAACTGGTCAATGGGGAATTTAAACAAAGTGTAATTAATAGGTTCCACAGTACCCAAGTAGTACTAAACACACCCAGATAATTCAAAGCTCCATCTCACAACAGGCAGGAATGCTCTTAATTGACTCAAGAGTCCCAAAATAATTACTTCTTGCATATGCTTTACAGATGGCAAGAGGGAAGAAAACTTCAAGAAATTCATTTCACCTGTCTTCTGTTTTGCTTCATTTATTACTTCTTTCTTAGWTTATCAGCATAAAAAAAAAAAAGCAAAGAAAATAACCTTTCTTCTGGAAAGTTTCCTAGTCCAACCATTTAGTGAGAATAAAAAAAGCCACTGAGTTGCAGGTGAGTTAACACAGGCTAAATTCTAGATATGTTTGAAGACTAAGAAATGCTAATAAAAATGTGTAATACACATTTCATTTTTATGGGGTTGACATGCAATTTTTAAAAATTGAAGTAGGAATAAAAGTGACAGAGAAGTTAATACAAACAGGTCAATGTAGAAGGAAAACCAAAATACGGTTTGCATAGGGAATTCTCTAATTAAGACAGTTGCAGAAGTGGTTTATCGCAGAAGAAGAGATGGATTTTGGAGAAAATAAGGAAACAGCAGAAAGGAAAGCAGCTGTATCCTTCAAAGGAAGAAATTTGGATTTTGGCAGATCGGTCTCTTTTCCATAATAATCTGAATACTGATAGAATTGATTTCTCAGTAACTTTTTGATAATATTGTGCACTGTTAATTTCGACTTTGTAATACACATATTTTTTCTTGTCTCCAAGTCAAAACAAGTATATGGTTATAGTTTTTGTGTATGATAAGGAAAAATCCAATGCAGCATCCTAATTTGCCTCAGAAATCAAGTGATCAAGAAAAAGGAAGAAAAAGCTAAAAAGCAGCTTTGAGAGGGTAGGAATTCTGGTTTGCTAATAAACAGCAAAATCCAGCACATGACATAAATCTCTGAGTGCTACTGGGTACATTAAAACACAGTTATCACAGACAAAAGRGGGTACGGAATCTTTTTAAACCAACTAGCAGAAAAACAAAGATTTTCGGAGCTTGCATTAAAATTGGGTTTCTCGGAGAGTTTAGCAAGGGCTTGCCTGTCAAAGTACTGCATTATAAGTTGAAACCAGCATCGGCAGGAACTGACTCCTTCCTTTACTCCAAAGGCTACACGAGCTGAGGGCACCGTTTCCCTTCCAATCTGAGAGCTTTATGGACCTCTCCTACTCAGCTGACCGTTTAATGGTTATAACATTTAATGCTATTTGGGCTTTTGTTCCTGGCAGCCCTGTGCATTTTACTGCAAGTAAGGTTGTAAGGGACAAGATGATAGAGCTGGCTGGATTTCAAGACCCTAACCAGAGTGTTTGAGCTTGCAGGATTTAAAGGCCTTAGCATGGCCTGGAGAATGGGAGGCTCCATTTCCTTCCAGGCTGAGAAAGGATCATGTTCTGGCAATTGCCTTACGCTCTGTAATGTGCTCCCATGTAACTGAGCCCCTGTCAGAATTGGTGGCTGAAGCGCTTGTTAAATGACCCCCCCCCCCTAAAAAAAAAAAAAAAAAAAATGAAAAAAAAAAACCCCCCAAAAAAAAAAAAAAAAAAAAAAAAAAAAAGCTGCTTTCTCTCTCACCCTAGTTATACTCAGCTCACCCTGGGTGCCTTACAAGGTCTGCAGAAGATGGATATCCTCATCACTCATCCTTGTCTTTCAAAGCCCAAAATTTCATGCCAAAACAAGCAAGCACAAATGTAATCTCAGAGTAAGCTTACATTTCTGGAGCATTTTTTGAATGTGCTACAAATACAGCCTAAATACCAGCCCATGTATTTGTAAGGGGAGCCTGCTACTCAGACAAAGTAAATTAAATCCTTGCTGAATTTTCTGTATGTCAAGTTAAGCAGCATCTACATTGTCACTGATGGACTATTTTAGTGGCTATCAGACCTATACAGGAATAGCGCATGTGAACTATGGTAATATAAGAAATAAAATTGTTTGTAAACAGTTTATTGCCTTCTTTAAYATTTACATTTGGTACTTTGTGACAGGTGACGTTATTCAGGAAAAGCTACTCAGGGAAGAACAGAACCCGGGGAGCTCTCCAAAGGTCATGTGATCTGTTTCCTTATTCCAAGGGATATTGACTGAACCTGAAAGCAGACATCCTGACGGGCATCCGGCCAGCATTTTATGCCAGATTTTAAACTGCAGAGATTTCACAGCTTCCCCAGGCAGTCTCACCTGGTTTTTGATTATCCATGTATTTAGAAAGATTCTCCTCATACCTATTCTGGCTCCCTGCTGCAAATTGATTATTTCTGCCATGGATAGAAGAAGTGATTATTTCCACTCTCTGCGCTGCAGCTTTTTACATGTTAAGGATGACTACAGTGTCTACTCCAGCTAACAGCCCACAGCAAGGTTTCTACTCGTTATCCAACTATTAATGAAAATACTGAACAAAGGGGACCTGCTGCCCCCCTTAAGTTCACTATTAAAACAAATGCTGCACTCTTCATAATCCATCTTCAAGCATTTTCCAAGCAATTATTTCTCACCTCATAATTTTATCTGTACACAGCTTCCCTAGCTTGCTATAAGAAGGGTAAAATGCCATACTAGAGCCAAACACTATTTATCCTCTCTCCACAAAACCCTATCATCAAAATAAGTTAAATGTGCCCATCAAGCACAAGCTACACCACACCACTGTTGGTGGTTACTTCTCCATTCATTACCTTTTAAGTGCTTACAAATTGAATGTTTATTCCACTGTTTTTCTGGACCCCCAAATTAGACCGACTCATCTCGACTTTGCTCCTCTTCCCCCTATTTCTCCACAATCCTTGTTTCCTGAGATCCCGTCTGCCAGGCTGCCGAGTCTGCTGAAGCTCCGACAGGGCTCGAGCTTTCCGCGGTGACCCTATTCTTTGTACAGTATTATCGTGTAACTCGAGAACTGCAGATGTATCTGAGTATTGGAACTGTGCAAATCATTGCCACAAAACCTGAAACCATGACCTTTGCTTGAGGTGCTCCAGCCAAGCTGGGATGGGGAGAGCGCTGAGGGGACAGGGCAGGAGACTTGATTTATGACCATTCATTAAAACTACATGAAACTGACTATTTATAGAAGTGGGCTTGAGCTGAAAGGCTCAAATGCAAAACCAGCCTTTCTTCATAATTCAGGGTACTTGCACGTGGAAAAACAAGGAAGCCTTTTCCAAAAGCCTGGTGAATGCAACTAGACTCAATTTGCATATACCTTTTTTTTTCCCCCTCCCCTTTCCATCTCTGTTCAGTTTGTCACTGGCCAAAACGCACAGAGGGCACCTAAGCAGTCACTTTAGTACAGTCCTGCAGCACGACCCTGGAACAGGCAGCTGCTGCAGCTTGGCGAGGAGCCAGCGCTGCACCGGGATGGCCTGCAAAGTTCAGTAGCTCTGTCTGGAGATGTCAGGAAAAGCAAGTGCGGTCCACTGCGCAGCCCTCCCTGCCACAGGGGCTGTGTTTGGKCACAGACTCTGATGCCCGCGCAGCTCCCGTCGGGGACATTCCTCTGCCTCGGCTCACAGCAGAAACGCCTTCCACCACCCAGTGATGAAAAGGGGGATCAARCAGCTCGCAAAGCGAGGGCTCTTTCGGGGTGAGGTTTCTATATTTAGAGCAGCTCAATAAACACCATTCTGGGCTGTATGCAATGTGCCT